TCTCTTGTGTTTGGATCACCCAACCAGTTGTGGAACAGTTCTCGGGCTGTGTGGAGACAGCTACACGAGTACGCACGACAGCAGCGTGCAAAGGCAAACCACAGGACAAAGGGGCGGCGTATCCAGCGAACATTCAAGGCAGGGGACAAAGTGTGGTTGTGGAACACAAAAGTCGAGACTTTGAAGGACAAGCTCGAACCGTGGTGGAGGGGCCCGGGGCAGTTGATTCGCCCTATAACGAATGCAGTTTGGGAGGTGCTTGGGCCAGAGGGGAAAATCTGGGTTAGGCATACGGACATGCTTAGGCCGTACAGGGATGCAATCTGAGGGACGAAGTTGTTGAAAGAGTGATTGTTTAGCGCAGGGAAGCGTGTGAGGGCGGCGAATATACAACGGATAATTATAAGGTGAATGGTGTTAAATACGGTGTAATTTGTCATTGTGAACATGGTGATAAAACATGGTGAATGTGGGAATAGTGGGTGACTGAATGGGGACATTTCCTGTGAACACTATATAGTTGATGTGGTCGTCTTGTAATGCATCTGCTTGCGGTATCGCTTCCCGTGCCTGAGGAGCGACCGTGTGCGAGCGTGCGTGAGGGCGTACGGTTAACCCGACATTGAGTATCCAGGCCAGCCACCCCAGTAGGGTCACCATAAGCTCCCCAACCCAATGGATGCCAGCGCCCAGGAATCTCACGCTCCGCCCGACAACGCCAGCCAACGCCGCCATGACCGCAGCTCCTTCCATGGGCGATCCCGGAAAGCTCATAAACATCTCGCACCTCACCGCAGAGGTCTCCACCAATTCCGTATGACGCAACGCCCTCACAGCGTCCACTCGTTGCGCGTACTGGCCGATCCACACTCCCGTAGGGTGCTACGGCACTCCAGCACCAGCGACGGCGCTCGCCTTGCGTAATGCGCCGCCCTCAGTCACTCCGGATCCCACGAACGTCTTACTCACCACTCAGCGCGAGTGTGAGAAACGCCACAGAGCCTCGGGGCTCCTTAGGCCGGCTTGCGGACACGCGGGTACCGCAAGAGGGCAAGACCGGTGAGCGGTCGAGCCGGCGGGGGACTGTGGCGCGACGGTGGGAGGTACAGGCGGCTGGGACACAGAGAGAGTCACACAGAGGCCTGCCGGAGAGCTGCCTGGACAGACTCCCCGCGGCTTTTTATTACAAGAGTGTTTGTTTGGTACAGCTGTTACTCATTGGTTCATCCCTCTCGTCACCCTTCCGAGTCCACTCGCACTCCCGGACAAGAAAAGACCCAATCAGTCACACATTCCACGACAGTCCACCCCGTACAATCGCATGCCAGCCAAGCGTGTCACACGCTCCTCCTCCGCCAGAGATTCTCTTGGACAGCTCCGGTCGCGCCAGCTGGCCTCAGGCATCCTCCGGTCATCGCGTCATCCGCCAGCGTTTACCTTGTCCCGTCACGATCGCCGCCCCGTCTACTGATTTTCAGTAGTCTGCACCCTTCAGCCACCGAATCCCGGCGGGAGCGATGGCGTCATCACCCTCTCGTTGCGCGTCCCATCAAAACCGGGTGGCAGGGCCGGTGTCGTCACCTCGGCAGTGCCGATGGTTGCCGGTACCGTATGCGGCTCCTCACTGGGCGCATCCACCATGACGTCATCCGGGGCTTGACCACGCGCCCGCGCTTCCCGGCGCTGACGCCGGATGGCCCTCCGCCAGGCACGCTCCTCCGCGCGTACCTCGACGTCCGTGTACGGCGGTTTGCCCGCGTTGAGGCGTCGCGCCACGATCGCACTGGCTTCCGTGAAGGCGGCCGAAGGCAGGACGGCGGCATTCGGCTCAGTTTGGATCCTGAAGTCCTTCCTCTCCCGTGGGAAGACTTCAGACGCTCGTGATGGGTGTGTCGCGGCGTACTCGCGGCGGGTCACGCCTCCACCTTCCATGCGCCAACACCTCGCGTCCGAGAATGGCACGCTGATGTCGAGGCTGATGTGCACCTCGCGCCTGTAGTAATTCAATTCGGCGCCATGCCAGGCCTGGATTCGACCCCCCTCACTTTCGATCATCGCCGCGATCCGCTGCCGAAAGGCCTGCGTACTAGAGGTGGCCACTCAAGATGCCATCCGCTCCGTTAAATCCGGTTCGTTAATTTTTATAAGCTGTTCGTTAAATTCCGTTATAGAAAAAGGGAGAAAAATTCAAAAAAAACGAAAAAAATCCAAAAAAATCAAAAAAAAACCCAAAAAATCACAACAACTGCGGCTAGTTGAAAATCTAGTATGCATAGGTTGAAATAAAATATAAACATACTCTCTAATAGCGAATTCCATAAACTATAAGTATGAAAAAACCCCAAAAATCCCAAAAAAATCCAAAAATCCGTTAATTTTTGGTTAATTTTTGTCTTTTTCCGTTATTTTCCGTTAATTAACGGATTAATTAACGGAATTAACCTCTGTCCGCTATTAACGGATCCGGGTGGCCACCTCTACTGCGTACCCATGCCGGTGTACGGCCGGTGCGGATGGGGGTGCACCTGGAGGGTCCAGGGGCGGTACACGGCCTCCGGTTTGTAGTCAGGATTCCAGTCCGGCTTCTCCCCTGGCCCTGGCCGATGTCCTGACGTCAGTTGCGTTGACTCCGTGCGCTCGTACGCCTCGCGCGCCTGCTCTTGCAGCTGATAGCGTAAGGCCTCCTCTCCATGATCCCCCTGGTGATGCAGCCACTGCGCGTCCTCAGCGCTGAACGGCAGGATGACGGTTGAGCCCAAAGCTCCAGTACCCTTCCGGGCAGTCTGCCTTCTCGAGATACCATCTCGAGAGCCAGAGGTCACCGAAGGCGAGCCACTGGGCGATCAGAAAGCGCCAGCTTTCGACCTGGCGGAATCGCGCTGCTGTCATGGCTGCCGGGAAACCGCCAACCAGCTGCTGGGCAGTGAGACTGGGAGGCGGGGCTCGCTGTGCAGGATGGTCAGAATGCAGGGGAGCGCTGCTGTGCGCTTTTGCCGTTTTGGAGGTCTTGGACGGTGTTTGGATGTCGGACTGGTCGCTTGACGGCTTGTGGGTGTGTGAGAGGATGTCGTTATCCCATGCTGGGCGTCAAAGTCGGACGGAACCTTGCATGCTGATGCGTAGTGGGTCATGTAGGGTAGTAAAACTGTATATTGGGGCTGGCTCCGGAACTGTGATCGCTGAGCGGCTTGATCTTGCACAGTTTTGGTCGGATTGTAGCCTTTTGATCGCTCCTCATGCTGCCGCTATGTTCAGATGTAAGATGCTCTTGATGATGTAGCTAATGGTGGTCAGTTGATGCTGCTGGAAATGTTGCCGGTAGATGCTGGGAAGATGAAGTTGATGGAGACATTTGCCATGTCATTTATGGCCTGGAAATGGCCAACTTTAACAGTGCCCGGCGACGTCAAAGCTACCAGAACAAAAGAGGAGGGCACATCTGCAGAATTTCGAAGGTGGACAGCTAGCGTTGGAAAATGCGGATACGGTAGGAAATTGCATTAGGGGAAAACGTGTGTATTATCTGTATTTTTGTCCAGGCCCAACTACGTGGCCCCATACGTCCAAAAATACGGCAATTGGTACGTCAACAACGACGAGCAACTGCAACACATCGCTGTCCCTGTCCGTCTGTTCCATGGAGCCCTCCTCCTTTGGGACCGAGGCAACGACAATGTTGTCGAACAGTATTTCATCGTCAACCCGCTCAAGAATACCAGGGGGCAATTTAACTCTGGGAGTACCAAGGTCGACATAGTGTGGTTCACAAGCAACCTGCTCATTCTCTGCCTAGAAAGCCAGCAAGCCAAGGTTTTGGGCCCCAAATGCCAGGAATGCCGAAGGCGAGAGTGGACAAACTGGGCCGTGGTGTTGTTGAATTCCGCGCTGACTGTATTCTCAATGCCAAAAACTAGCGTTGCACCTGGAAGAGGTGAAGGGAACCTGTGTTTGCATGGCGCATTCACAAAATGTTCTTGAACGACTCACATAGCTCGTGCATGTGCCCAGTTGGCAGAGGGCAGAGGGATCGTTGGTATGAAAACCTTGTGCAGTGCTTTCAAACAAACTCATGACCATGCACGCATGCCGGTTGTTTCGGAGAGCAGTGTATGTCAAGAGCATATTTCAGAACGACAGATCTGCCGGGGCAGGAAAGTGGAATCAGTCCACCAAAGTGCGCTGTGTCACATCTTTGCACCGGGTGTGGCAGGTTTCAGCATTTCTCTCTGCCGGTCTGCGAGGCGGTTGTGTTGCCAACGTCAGCAGTCCTGGAAATGTGACAAACGAAATGGCGGAATAGCGTCGGCACCCAAGCTGCACGGTTTCCGGGGCAGTGCACCACGCTGGGTGAGCACAGCTTCCCCTGTCTTGGTTCCAAGCACATCATGGCGTCTTGTTTGACAATCCAGCACGCGATTTACAATGAGCAAGTAGAACCCCTGACAACTCAGCAGGTAGGCAGTTGTCCAACAACTTCAACTAACAGTTCACAAATCGCACAGGAAGTAGAGCAAAGAAAGAACAATAAATTTAGGCGCAACTGGGACGTCGGAACATCCCCTGCTACCAACTGTTAAACCGACTCGACATCAGTGTCCCAGCAGCTGCACATCAGGAAGGCGACAGAAGGCGGATGCTGCACACCGACGTCCACGAATAGAAAAGGGCCAGTGCATCATGGCCCAACTGATCGGAACCGACCTGGGGCTGGAGCCCAACCACGCACAATGTTGCACTTCTGCACATCACTGCTAAGCATCGTTCACGACAAGTGGGCCATGTGCGGTGGCTACCACTATCAAGTTGTCCAACTAAGCAGAGCAGCTGCTTCCCCAAGCTGGATAAAGAATTGGTGATGATTCCGGGCCTCTGACATCACTGCAAGGTGATATGCTATCCACATCAAATCTGAAGCCGCCGTCTTCCCTCTAACACACTCACCCGCAGCCCACTGCTCACAGCATGCGCATGGCATTCCTAAACGTGCCTCAGAACGGGTTTCAATTCACAAAGCATGACTGCGATGCTGTGAGCCTGGCCATGAGTGGCCCAACATATTTGCTCTTAGCTTTCTCCGGAACATTCGAGGTCCTGTTCATCTCCCGGAGTGCTGGGATCAGACCTGACGTCCTCATATCATGCCGTGCTCTGTCATTCTTCGACAGGTGGTAGAGCGCCTTCACTGCCGTCTCAGGAACGGTCACCCATGCAAACCAGTCGTTGAATATGCGTGCAGTGTACAGAACTTGCCGGTTTAGGGGAGGCAGGTGGTTCATGAAATGCCTCACAGCCCCCGCCTGCTGAATCAGCTCTCGGGAAGCCCGGTCTTCGCACAGGTACTGCACGGCCTTGAGAAGGCAAAGCCTGAACCCCACATCAGTTGTCGTTGCGAGGTAATGCACCAGCAGAGAAACAACATTGCCACCAAGGATGTATGACCGTGGTCGCGGCTTGTAGCAGATGCATGCCAACAAAAATGTTGCATATGCTCGAACCTTTATGCCAGACAAAGGCAGAATCAGCTCCTGACTGTCCAACAGACTTTGTTTTGCACAAAGCGATGAATGCCAAACACCCATGCACTGCTCAGAATCGATTTAGGGAGGTGACTGCAGCATCACATGCAGATAGAAGGTAAGTGTTGCAGCATTTATTGGTTGTGAGGATAATGTGCACTTTCAGTGCATAGAGTTAACAACTAGCAGTAGCCACACTTTATAACCACCACAGCCATCAGTGTTTGAATGATATCCATACATCTCTTTCTACTCTTTGGATATACCTGGGCTGGCAAGGCCAGTTGAGGTCTGCAGATGGGTATTCAGCAAATTACCTCATCGGCCAAATCGCTGTTCTGTGTTGGATCTGCCATGGACTTCATGTATGTGATTATCTCGTCTGCTCCAAGATCTTGAACAGCCTGTGCAATTTCCATCATTCGACCCCGGTGCCGATAGGCATGCTGCCAAAGCAGTAGAAGAACGTCCTCAGTCAGTTGTGGATTCGAGTATTGAAGGAGTTTGAGCATCTGCCCAACCGTCATCTCCTCCCCAGGCAGGTACAACAGCAGGCGGGCAGCCTGCACCTGGAATCGGGGTTCCCCTTCATTCAGTTTCTTCTTGAGGTGTTCGACTGAACAATGCTGTACAATTCTTCTTTTCTGTCTCTTTTCTCCATGCCTGCAGAAGCATGACAAGCTTTGCTTGAGGCACCTATTGCCAGGGTTGGTGTGGACAATTAATGCCTCCCATGCCAAGAAAAGTGCCTGTTGCACCAAGTCATTCACTGTATTGCATCCAGAGAAGCTTTGTCTATGCCGTTCAAGAGCATCTATGGCCCCTGCAGTTTCAGTCCGTTCAAATAGCGCACAGCTGAATTCACCAGGTTGGCTATTTTGCTGACTAAAATGGGAATCTCAACAGCTCACACCTTGCCATATCTGCAAGAAGCTGCATTGCTGCAAGCGATTCTGCCTCCTCACTGGATGACATCAGCCTGCACAGCCCCTTTATGTCATACACAGACACACCCTGCAGGTCTGCGCACTGGGCAGGGTTGGGAAGGTCCCATGACCCTGAATCGCCACCCTTCACATCGTCTTCCTCACTGTCTGCAGGGTCCAGTTCAATATTGTGCTGATTGGCGAACTGCTGGATGGCTGAGCGTAGCGGGTATATAGTGGAGAGTCGCTGGCTACGCACTTTAACTCCTGAGCACATCCAGATAAACGATTCAACAAAAGAAGCACAACAGCATAGGCAACGCACATAACATTAAATGACTGATGCTTGAAAGCAAGCACACACAGATCTTTCAAGTTCATTTTGCATCAGCCCTTCACTCTCTTGCACATGATTCTCTGTGCAGACGACCATCCAGGACTGCGCCCATCTCTGCATTCATAATTCTTTGTGACAGAGAATGTCCTGCAGGGAGTGAAAGTGTCAAGAGCAGCCATTCCATCCAATGTCACACTGTTCCTTACCGGTGTTCGGATCTGTGTTGTGCCCACTCTTGAACCAGGCTTCTATAGATTCCCGATCATACACTTGTCCTGTCTCTACCAGGAGGACAGGGTCCTTCATGAGCTGCAGGGTTATGGGACAGAGGTACTCCCGTGGAGCCTCCTTGGTCTATTCCAAGCCCAGCAATGCGAGTCAAACAAACCAGCACCTCAAAAAGGGAGAATGTACACATGGACGCTGCCACATCACCTTTCATAATTTGGGTATTGGCGTTCACAACGACTGCATTGTGGACAACTTGCATGCAGACCTATGCCCAGGTTCGACTTTCAAGCACAAGGGCTGTGTTGCGTCACTTCCAGAAATATGCAACAAGAGGATATGACACAATCTAAGAAAGTAAAAGAATTTCACATATAATACTCGCTGAGGACGGGTGGCCAATTGTATGACATGTGTCCTATTGCGACAACGAATTTCCCACCTGTAGGCGTTTAACATGCCTTGCAGGTGTTCTGCATTCTGTGGGCTTCCTTGCATAAGAAAACACATCAGTGCAGAAAACAAAGCACCAACAACGTTTTCGGGACTGCAGGCCTTAAAAATGCGGAAGCTTGATGCACATGCAGGTGGCACGTGCAGGTGTTGAAGGTTTAGTGTGATGGAGACGCTAAGTGTCGTCACGGTGTCCTGACAGGTCTGTGGCGCAGAATCAGCAGGTTCTTACCTCATCGATGGCCGCAAAGCCCCTCACAGATGCGGTGGCCCCCAACTTCCCCCGTCTGGTGGACCTTGATTTCAACATCCTGGCGCGCTGCTTGATGGCTGCTCAATGCTCAACGGGATGTCCAGCGCCGCATCTCTCAACTGCAGCTGCCCAACCCAAGCCGACCCAAGAACACGGGCGCCAAGTGGGCGCTCGTGCCTGCAGCCGCCGCAGCGAAACCTCTGAACCTGGGCGGATGAAGGAAACGCGCGCCCGTCAATCAAGCCGCGGGTAAATCGGGAACAATTCAAGGAGCTCACCACCACATGTCCCGTCACCTTACGGTACAGCTGGACCGCCCAAACAGCAGGTGGAAAACACCCAGAAGTGGCCCAGGTACCGCGAGGCAGCACGCGGGTCCGAAGGCCGAAGACTGGGGCGCAGCAGTCGACAGATGAAGCAGCTGTCTGGATTGCATGGCCGCAGTCAGCAAAATGGGCCCAAATCGATGATCCAAGGGAGTGAACGGCTGGACCTGAAGGCACGGCGCTCGCCAACCGGCCCACCGAACACTACTCACCGCGGGGAGGGGGGAGCTCCTACCAGTGCGTCTGCCGCCGAAGGCCCGCCAACCGTCGCAGGTGACCAGGTGTTGTTCTGTCGCGCCCCAATCGCGGTCACGCTCCTAATATAATGTCTCACACAAAATCGCACTGGCCGCGGGAACCTACGGCGTCTTTATTTGGTGGGTACTATTGTCCCGGCTGTGCCGTTCGGCCATCCGAATAGCACCGCACGTCAAAAAACCAATATTAATGGTTGGGGAGCAATAGCACCCCAATAGCACCCCCGGAGCTACTACAGTATTCGGCCCCGAGCGGCGCTATTTTGGCCTCGAATAGGCGCCGTCGCAGGCGCAGGCCACCAGTTTGCCTGTTGAACGAAAACGAAACCAACCATGAGGCCAAGCCAGGCCACTAGTCTGGATTTTAAAAATTGGCGGGGATCGCCACGCTGGCAAGCTAGCTCTGCTCGCCCTGCCTTTGGCATTGTGTGGATGGGTTGTGGGTGTGGAGATCGAGAACGATTGGAGCAACGTGGTGAGCTGAGCGAGAAATGGCGCGAGTATGCCGACTGTGGCGACACATCACGGAATGAACCAGGCAGGGTTCAAGTCGTTTGGCCTTGCAGTGGTTTAAGTCTTGGGTAGGAAGGCGGGCAGCTCTGCGGTGGACGTGGGACGGGAATGGAGAGGTTCGTTGCATGACCCTCGTGAACCGCACCCCCCCGGTAATGGCGATCGACCGCAAATGGCTTGTTGTGCAACGTTTCGAAGTCCCGGTGAAGTGTCATCGCCCACGTTGTCGATCCTGGTGCCGCAGTTCGACTTGAATGTCTGTGGGGCGCGCCAGGGGCGGGTGGGATCTCCAGTCGCCCTAGGCGGCGCTTGCTGCCTCCGCTCTTTGGCCAGCACTGCACGGGGGCCTTGCGGCTGCCCACGGCTTTGGCGCATGAGTTGGCGCTCTCGCAGTTTTGAATGCAGCGAGTTTCGGGAGGAGCGGCATTGGCAGATACGGTAGTCAACATACGGGCGACCAGGCCCCTTCGCGGACTGCATACAGTTCCACCCCCTTCCCCGCACCATCCAAATAGGGCACTGCACGCGCCGACCAAGCCTGGCCTTAGCCATCCAGCGCCCATCACCACCTTGTCCGACCCTGCGCATCCCAAACAAACAATCGCGTGTGCATGGGTGGTTGGTGGTCAACACGGGCATATGCATGCGTAAATTGCAACGCGCCGGCCGGGCAAGCACAACACGGCCGCGCACGCCCCGCAATGTGCCCCATAAAGCCCGGCCTACACACACACACCCGTACGTTCACAGGCCAATAGGCAGCGGCCGAGGCCTCGCCGGGATGGAGATCCGCCCCTTCCGCGCGGGCGACGAGCCCACCGTGCGGCGCATGTTCGAGGAGGGCATCGTCCTCGGCAGCAGCTGGGAATACATCAGGCTCGCCTGGCGCTCCCTGCTGCCCCGCGCTGCGGCCACCGCGCTCGCGCTGGCCGCGATGTCCGTCGCCGCGCTCTGGCCGCCCGCCCGCGCCCCCTCCGCGTGGCTCCTGTGCTCGGCGGTATTGGCGGCGCCGATCGCCGCCGCGTATTACGCCGTCGTGTACGTCGCCGCCAGGAGGCTGGCCGCGGACTACGCCAGGGAGTCGCTGGCCAGCGACCTGGCGGACATACCCGGGCACTACCTTGCTTCGCCAGGAAAGGGGTTCTGGGTATCGGTGGACAATGGCGAGGTCACGGGCTGCGTGGCCCTGGACGCCTGGACCGGGGATTCCGACCCAGGGGTGGCCGTGGGCGAGCTGCGTCGCCTGTCGGTGTCGCGAAGGCACCGGGGGAAGGGAATCGGCGCCCTGCTGGTGGGGCGCCTCCTGTCCGAGGCCGGGAAGGCCGGGTACGCGGAGGTGCGCCTGACGACCGTCTTCTCGTTGGCCAAGGGGCGGCGGCTGTACGAGAGGCTGGGCTTCAGGCTGATGCGGGAGCCCGTGTCCATGGTGCCGTCCTTCGGGAAGGCCGGCGCTCTCGAGGGCCTGTTTCTGATGATGACGGACGAGAGGCTGTTTTTGCTGTACCAGTACGGGTTCCGGCTGGACCGCTGAGGGCGGGGTGTGGGGCCTTGGGGCCAACAATTGAGGTTTGGATCGAAATGGGTTGGAATTGAAGTGGATTGAATTTCAACGAGGTCAGTTGCGGACGTCGGGGGCCGGGACGCAAGGCCCTTCGATGCCGAATATTGTATTTCCGCGGTGTCGACAGGAACTCTTTCGCCGCCACTGTGACGTGTAACCAAGCGCTGGAAGCTGCAGCCGCCCAGTTCTCGATGCGGGGCACGCCGCGAACTCCCTGTGCCCGTTGGCTGATGTTACTTCAACCGGGCCGTGCTGTGGACGTTGGGTGCTCTGCAGTTTGCCGGAAGAACAGGGAAGCCTGTCCTGGTTACAGCCCAGGTATACCCGGAGAATGATGTAATGGTCTTCATTGAGCCCGCATTCACTGGCTACGACTGACCGTTTGGACCAGATGAAACGAGCATCTTGTGGAAGACATTCCAGCGAAGGCCCTGTTTTGAAGTGGGACGCACATCAGCAATTCGTCCCCGCCTGTGGTGAAAACAAGCAGACTGAATGCTGTACACAAAGATCGCGACTGCGGCAGACAGAGTGCGAAACCTGGACTTGTTTGACAATAAACGAGTCGCTTGATCGAATCTTCCTTGCCCTTTCGACCGACGGCCAAAGGCACACAGGTCCATGAGCTGACAGTCGCAGCGCTCGAAACCTGCAAGGGTGCTGGGGTGTGCTCGTTTTCTCGCCGTATAGTACATGTGTCCAGATTTTAGCCTTCAAGGCGCTGCAAAATTCACACGTGCAGATACACACACCAGCCCATCCAGGTTGGTGCCCATCTGTTTATTTGTAAATCGTCCACATCTGCTACTCTGCAATTGGTGCTCAAATAGTTCTTGACTGGAACCGACCAAATGCGAATTAATGACACAGATATAGCTACCCAACACCTGTTGCTGACTTGAACGAACTGCCTCCCCATCTATCCCTCCCTGCCTTGACGAACAACGGAAAACAAGCCCTGCCCTCAGCATCAGCAACACAGTGCTTGACCCCACCAAACGACACCAAATCGTACACATGCTAATTTGCAGCGTGCCTGGATAGCCCAGAGACCTTGCATATGGCCTGCACACAGTGCAAGCTCACCTCAGACATTGCTGGCACACTGCGTCTCAATTCTCTGCCTGGTCTTCGAGATTTAAACTCTCCAGACCACAAGATTCTTCAGGGGTAGTCAAAAACTCCTTCCACAGAGAGTCGTCCTTCTGGAAAGAATTGTGCAGTGACTCAGACTCCAGCATCATAAGCTCTGCAGACTTCAATGAGGGAAGGCTGTCAGGCAAATCCATGGAAAGATCATGCCCATTAGGCGGGGCAAAACCAGCGGAAATGGGTGCAGTTGATCCCATAGTAAAAGGGGTGATCATCCCGTATCCATCTGTGGGAGTCTCTGTAGACTGGCCATCCTCTGCATTGAACGCAGTCCTGCTTCCTGCACTTGCAAGATCCATCGCTTTAGAAGCTTCTTGGCCCATTGGCACCCCAACTGCCCCAGACACCGATGCGCTGGTGTCGTTGTCCAGTGACGGAAACACAATATCTGGCTGGCCTCCTGGCAGGGAAGTGAAAGGAAAGCCCGATGCATTGGTCAGACCAGGAGCCTGCAGGTTTGCAAGGTCTGAATACATCGATGGGCCCACCCCACTGGCTTCAAGGGCGCTTGGTTGGTTCGATGTGCTTGATGAGGGCCCCACAGGAATGCCCAGAGCAAGACCCGCTCTTTCAAGCTCTGTACCTGCAGTGACAATGATTGTGCATCGTGAGATGGGCTGCCACTCCAAAGCCAAATGATCCCAGCTGAGGGTCAGTTTCGAATTCCAAGTAATTCAGCTGAGGTTGAACTCCGTGAAAGTGCAAATTTGCACGCCTCTGTTGCTGGCAACCTGGTTAAGCACTGGTGCGGACTGTGGCATCTTTTCTCACCTGCACTTGGGGATGAAAGGTCTGCAAAACTAGCAAGTGGATCGACCTGCAGACACGCATGGTGCACGGTGTTGTTAGACCCCATTTTCTATCGCAATACAGCAGGAACACGTTCAAGTCATTGTCAATAGGCCAATCAATACAAGAGCCACGTCTGACGAGTCACACAAGAAGGACACAGGACAAAGGACACAGAGCCAGAAAGTCCACATTGCAGCATTTTTAAGTTTGCAAACTAACCTTGACAGCAATAATGCTTGAGGGAGGGGACTGCTCTCACACTCCCTGCTGGTAGCAAGCTGCTAGGCACATATCATACTTGATGTGCAACTGCCTCCAGCAAGTTTTCCATCATTGGCAAACAGAAAGAACATAGGACAAGCAATCGGACACGATAACACAGAGCTCATTTATTGCTTGCAATGGCACTGTACCTGCCGGGCGTCTGTCAGTGGAATGCTGGGACCAAACTCAGTGTGGCCTGGGTTTGAATTTTGGCTTGGACTGTGCGTCTTGAATGCTGTCCCATGTGTCAAAGTGTCCAACAGATTGAGCAAAGCATCCGAATAGTCCTGCCCCGGAGCACTAGGAGGTTTGTACTCAATAAGCTGGTTATCCTCAGTCCCACCCTCTTTCTCAACAGCACCATCAACTCCATCCATTGTCACATCGCTGCCCCTATTGCGTCGTTTCCTGCGACCTGCACAAGCAAAACCACCACAAACTCTACCATCCAAAACCACCACCAACAGAAGAGCGACCCTACCATTATTTGGCCACCAACCAATGGATTCTTGCAGCTAAAAGCAGACTTAGTCGGCACAGGCTCTCTCACAGGACAGCATTCCTTGTCAAGTGAGGTTCTGCACAGTGCTGCTACCTAGGTACATCATGCCTGGATGCCTACATTAGAGGCCAACATGCTCATTGAATCAGACCAATATACCTTCACAAGGTGGGAAGCTGCAACACTTGCCTGAAGTGCCGCCACCCACCCTTTCCATCCGTTTGTTTGCGGCCTGCAACATCTGAGATAGCAGGCCAGGATTCTGCAGGAACCTGCTGAAGAGGTGCAGCATCTCAACCTGTCTACTCTCAGCCACGTTCACCCTTTGGACCAGTCCCCGGAGCTCAGAGTCCGTCCACTGCCAGAACAAGATCAATTTGCACAGTTACTCCAGGTTCAACACCAAAGATGCTGCATGGCCTTCGGCTATCACCATCTACACAACTGATACCACACATGCATTCTTCAGACACCACTCTAGATACAATTGGGTCATCCACAGGATGAACATTTGAGATTAACCAGCCCATTACAACACAAAAGCCATAGCACAATCATCAAGGCAGCCAGATCGATACAGTAACTGGGGTTGGTAGTGGGCCACAACCTTTCCTAAACTGCGTATCGACTTTCAACATCGAAGTTATGTTGCCCCCATCCATGATCTCAGACACCTGTCACTGCACCTCCGCTGAGGGAAGAATGCTGTGCTACAAGGTACAATCGACCAGTTTTTTTCCAGTGAAAGCAGAGCACTGTGTGAAGTGGCACACTTGTCGCACATTGCACGTCAGCCAGCAACTTAGCAGCAAGGCTGTTTGTACAGAATGAGCCAAAAAAACAGTGTCTGCAGTAGGACAAAAGCAGCCATTCGGCCGGTCTGCTTCTTGTGTGGCCACACGCTTCAACAGTGTCCAAGACACAGCAACAATACACCTTCAGCTTACCTGTTGTTGCTGCCTCAGCCTAACCAGCTCCAACATCAGAACATTCTTGTCCCTTTTTAGAGCTTCAACTTCATCTTTGAGGCCCCCAAACTGTCCTATCTGAATTCATAATGAAACAATGAAGATCAGCAATGGCCCAATAGCCTACCACTGTCTCCAAATTTGAGATTCTATGTGCGAGCTGCCTTTTGTGCATGCCGATGTTTCAGAATTGCCTGCCAGACAAGCAATTGAATCTGCACCCTATCTTGATCTACTTTGCCAAAGACAAATGCATGTGCAGCACCAAGCTACCAGCAGGCAACAATTTCTGTGGATTCTTCAAGAGAACTGCAGTAAATAGCAGTACTGACCGCAACCACATTCGATGGGCGTCTTGATGATGTTTGAATCGAGATGCATCTCCTCACATACCAATTATGTGCACCCTAACTAAAACCTGGAAGAGCGCATATTTCACCCAAATTCCCCTCACAGCCACCCAAGAGAACAACACACCCTAAGAGTACCTTGTCACAGATAATGGGACAGTGAATACCACAAAGTCTCACCAGCAAGTAAGTGATAGACATGGACATCAAAACCACACTCCTGGAGTGTCATCCACATTCCATGCGCACGATCGCAATCAAGGCAATTTGAGATTGCTTGAAGACACAGCCACAAATACCTCAACAGCAGGACTGCTGTGGACCAAGGCAGACTGGCTACCGTCCATGCCTGGTTGTGTTGCCGTCTTCCTCCTGTGAATTGACTTCAAGAGCTCGGGCTGACCCCTCAGGAAGCTCTCATTGGCAAACTCCCATTGGTCTGGGTCGACTTTGCGGAACCCCTGCACCAGATTGGTTAGCAATCAAGCGCGGTGGCGTTGCCAGTGAAGTGCGAATCCCGCTTGTGCACCTGACAAGGGAAGCATTCGAGCTCGAGACTGGGATAGGGAGGCATCAAGCTGAACATGGACCAACACTTCACAAAGGGGTGAGCCAGGCAGACCAGGCTGCCCCATTCAACGCAAACGTCCTGCCATGACACTCACATATGTATTCAGCTGCCTCACAAAGCTTGAGAAATTGTTGTGCTTGAAATGGAGGGGCAGGAGGTCCCTCGCAAATTCTGCTGGTTTCCACACGACGAAGCTGCAGGGCAAACAGGCCGTGAGGCGCGATCCTGAAAAAAAAACGACAAAGGTCCCGAGCGCGAGCAGTACCGCGCAGGGGGTCGACGAGGAGGACGTACCTGCCACCCAGCGCACTCCAAGACACGATGTCATTCGTCGCGGTGTCCTCCACCAGCTCATACCTGCGCCCACAGCGTCCCCCATGACACAAACGGCCAACAGACCCGAACTCCGGTTTCACGACTGCCCCTCATCGCCTTCGCAGCCCACGAGCGCCGCTTTCCCCCCCTCGACCACATACACAATCCAAAAACAATCCATTCCCGCGGGCCACATCGCGCGGACGTGCCCCCCTGATCGCTCCCATCCGTCGGCAGCTCACGTCTTTGTGAGGAAGGGAGGCGGCTGGGCGGAGCTGCCGGAGGCCTCCTGGCCCTGGCCCCGCCGCGAGCTGACCATCTGGCAAATCTCCCTCTCCGAGGGCCTCCGCCGACCGCCTTGGCGGGGATGCGCGCCTGGAAGAGCGGCCGCGAAGAGCGCGCAACAGCCCCGTCCAACCTCCGGGGCACGGCGGCCCCTTGGCGAGCTGCGAGCGGAGGGCCGGAAGAAGGGAGGGCCTTGGGCAGGGGGCCAGTTCGCGCAAGTGGTAGGGGCGGGTGGGGTCGCGGGCGGTGTTGTCGGGCGGCTTCCTTCGCAGCAGCACCACAACTGCCGAAATGGGCTTCGGTGCCCCGTCCGTCGTCTTGCCCGGGCGACCCCGTGTGCGACGAATGTGGTGGCGGAATGTGGTGCGGCCTGGCGGTGGTTGGCTGTGTGTGGGGTGGGCAATTTCCTGGGTGGTGAGCCAGTCCGCCGCCTTGGTGGCCCGTGCAAGCCAGTCCGGTCTGCCGGTCCTGGGCCGGACAGTCGGTTCCTGTAAGCATGCGATATCACGTGAAAGATAAAGACAAGGAAACAAGAGAGAAGTCAAGAAAGCGTGGGAAGCCAGGACAGAGGGTCGTCTGTATATTTATTTGGGAGTAAATGTTAGCCGGAAGCAAATTAACATGCAGCAGTAAGAATGTGACGGCAATCAGCGTGAGACGGAGGTAGAGTCGGTCTAGAATCAGGTGAATTGCTCGGTGCTGAAGTTGACTTCAAGTGAGGAAGTTTCACGAAGTACGTTGCTGATATTCTGTCCTTGGTTCATGCTCCTTTCACGTCCCACATGATGCTTATTATTCTGAACAGCGGGCAAAATTATACTGACCTTATTTCCGACAGTAATTGTACACGGTTCCCAACGATTGGTTCACACCAACTGAGCACAACAGTGTACCAAATAAACGATTTCGAGATAAACTTAACCGCTTTACACAATTTTCACAAACGCTTACACTACACACTTTGGCGGAATTCTTACTCCTGTATACGTAAAATACGGAAGTTTGTTAGGACTTACATGTAATGCACTTGAGGAATGTTACATCTCACGCAGCAAGCTGAAAGACTTAAATCAACCGTAGTCTCAATAAAGCCCTCATTCTCACTACCATAATAGCTGCTAGAACTTGCCCGTTCACGAGCACCTCTTATCCCGCCTGGGGCCCCAGGCGGGATAAGAGGTGCACGTGAACGGGCAAGTTCTAGCAGCTATTATGGTAGTGAGAATGGCCCCGGGGCGATATGTCCACCATGCTCGTGCCAACTCTAAAATTACTTTTACCGTGCCGTATCGTTCCAGTGCGCACTGAAGCCGACCGGCAAAAGACCGGCACGTGGCGGTACTGGTATGCACTTGACATTTGTTGATTAACATTTGACGCTTCTCGCAGAGCTTTGGTAATGCCGACCACCAGACCCACCACGTTCGAGCCCAAATTTCGGCTGCCTATTACCGAGATACTTTATCGGAACAGCCCCTGTACGCACTGTGCCGAGTGCTGTCATCATATAGCGCCGATCTGTGGAATTGTTGCGGTCACGCATTGTCACAATGCGCAACAACACAGTGCTGCGCGGTTTGGTACCGAACCACGTTTTGCCATGTTCCATTCAACGATCTGAAATCTTGATCACCTGTAGGTTACTATACGTTGCAGCTTAGATGGGTTCGATTATTTTCATGTCGTGTTGACTTGTCAATATGGAGTTATCACAGTTTGTTTGCGAAATATCGATGGGTAAAATATCGGTGGGTAAAGCCATCGATACCATTTCATCTGCAGTGTGCGCACAGCTATGTGCCCCTATGTGGGCTTGTCGCCTGTTGGCCTACAGGGACTCGCGTCCCAATCTCCCAGATTATATTTTGAATTTATGCTCAACGCACAGCGCCGAGTGTTAGCCTGAATTTAGCTGCCTTCCGATTGGTCCGCACTTGTTTTGTTGTGGGCATTGAAAGCTCGAAATGCGGTCGCAGCAGCTCACAGAGAGAATCCCATAGGCAATGGTGACGCACTCGGTCACCATCAGGCGGCTCAAGCCGCAGGTGAGCAAGGTTGAAGCGACAAGCGCAATGTGCCTGCCCCTTGAGGAGGTGTTGCCGTCGCCGACAGGCAAAGGAAGAAGGCTGCAAGGCTCACGCTGAAAATGCGGTGCAGTTCCAAATGGAATGATTCCATTTCAACGTCGATTACCGACCTTGTCATGCGGTTTGCAACTGCTCAGGTGCCAGAAAGTTTTGTGCGGTAGTACTTGATCTGCTGTCGATGGATGGCGCGTGATCTGACAACGCACTGTAGTGGTCTTTGGCACAATGAAGTTGGCTTGTTTCTAGCCGCACTGTCACTCCATTCCGAATCGCTACCAATAATGCATGGCAAATTGCCAGTGAATCGGACTGAATACGCAAGTAATTGGCTGCAGCCACATCGGGTGGCCGTGTTTGCGTCGAAAGCACTCAACTGTCCTTCATGTTGTTTGCAACCTCCTGCTCACAACAACCAAACAGCCTTTACTCGAGTTTGGGGGACGACTGTGTGGCGACATTGGCAGGCGTCACGTCCCTATCAGGAGAATTCACGTGTCTAACACACAAAACCGAACTGGCACCAGCAGAAAACAGCCTGTTTGCGAATCGCAAATTGCAAATTGCGATGCCAACCGCGATGCAATTTGACACAAATTGATGCCGTCGCGGCCCCTTTCGCACCATCGCAATCGCTGTGACGGCACCACTTTGTGTCGAAATGGCATCGCGGTTGGCATCGCGAACATGACGTTTGCTGGGAGTGTGGCACGTACCATATTCGGTGGCGATACAGCCCGCCTCAAAGCAGGTCCCCACTGAGCGCAACTCGGCTATCAAAGGCCCCGGCCCCCTCCCACATTGCAATTTCTATTTTTCAACCTGTGAGCCCTTTGCCGAAACCACAGGTATCGCAAAAGGTTGTAAAGAGCGAAAGTGTCGAAGGACTCCCGCCCAGAACGCACTAACTACTAAAGATCCCCAAACCACCAGCAAAAAAGATCGCGGTTTCGGCAAAAAGACGCCCCGCAAGCCGCCCCCCAGCCGCCAGCAACACGGCCATCAAGTCAATCCCATCCCTCACCCCCCCTGACGTGTGCCCTGCCCTGGTGCCAGTTCGATAGAACCGGGGCGGCCTGCGGCCGTGGCCCCCAAGGTACATACCCCTTCGGCGCAGGGCAGCGCGCCCGGCCGGGCGAGGCACAGCCCCAAGGCCTTCGGGGGCGGCGCGATGGGTGAGTCCCCCCTCTCGGCGCCTCCGTCTCCGCCGCGTCCCCGCCGCCGAAACATTGATTGATCTACGCCGCTGCCAGCGATGCTCCCCAGCCTGCCGCATGCTCGGATGCCCACCCGTTGGTCGGATTGGGGATTGATGGCGCGGCGCGTTGGCCGCAGGCGTGCCGGAGTTCTTCAGGTGGCTGGTGGAGCGGTACCCGCTGGCGTACGAGGCCGGGCCGCGGCTGACGCCCCCGGCCACGGACTTCCTGTACG